GATAACTATTGTGCGGGTCACGTTCATTCCTTCCATGCACACAAGCATCGCGCGATCGAAGATGGTTAGGGGTAGGCCTAGGCAAGTAATTGATGGGAATGTACTTGATGGAAACTTTCAAAATGTACTTTATCTATCAGCCAGCAATCAACAACAGTCTACCAAGTGGTGTTGACTCATAACTTGAAGTGGTACCTTGGTAGCCTCTGACTCAAACTGGTTTATTGATTCACGCTTAGTGTCAAAGCAGAGGTAGTCTTTTTGCGTATTGATAGGCCTATGCCACCCACCATGAAGTCCCCTTTTCATTGAAGCATTAAATTAGTACAACAGACCATTAACTTTGCCTGGCTTTGCTTCATCATAGGCCTATGGACAGTTCTCATGAATGGGGATGTAGTCAACCCTATGAAAAGCATATTAAAAAATCTCAATCTTACCTGCGCACAACCTACATAAAGGCCCATTTCACATTATGACATCAAGCCAATCATAAGATGAAGTCTCCTTCTCAAGGCTATTGGCATAATATTTGCTCTTACCATTATCTATTAGTCTGTGATCTTCATAACTGTATATGAAACTAGTGCAGACTGCCATTTTGGTGATGGCAGCAGTAATAGTGTAGAGGTTTTTGTTCAGCTCACATCTTTCTGAGAACTTTCTTTTCAAGATTCCACTTATAATTCACCTCACCATGGCAATGAAGTCAACCATGACATGAGAAATAGAGGGATTGTACTCAAGGTGACTGTTGCCCCTTCAGCATTAAGCAAAAAGCAGTGAAAATTAAATTTTGCAACTTAGTCACAAAGATATTCAGATTCCTTAGAATGTTGTGTTTCTCTTCATTTGTTGGAAAACAATTGTAGTTTAAGAAATATTCAATCCTTTGAAGGTGTACTTGGCAAAGTGTACTTGGCAGCATTTTACTCATCTAGCTACTCTACTCGTAAAGCTTTTTGTTGGGAAGTTTTTGAAGGCAGTGAAGCCATCAGTTCGTGGGGATACATTTGAACACTATTGTCATATTAGCATGACCTCAGCACTTTGTCACCTTAGAAGCTGATGTTGGGGGGGAGTTAATTTGACAATTTGGTTCCTTTGTTGGCTCATTATTAGTGAGTCATGACTGGGTGCATGTGTATCATTGTAGAAATTCAATTTATTTACCAGCATCTTGGAAACACTTTGTTGTGGTGACAAGGATTTCAAAAGTGTAATGTTAGATGTGAGGTCAAGTTATTTATATGTGATTGTACTGAGATTAATTAAAATATGCAATTAATCTGAGCAACAGTAAGAAAGATTGTTAAGAGTATCATTTTATGTAAAGAAATTTAAAAGGTAGAGTACGAACCTAAGAAGGTAGTCCACCACTTCCACAACCCTGCCTGACCCAGGGTTCCTGTCACGTGCGTCCACGCACACCTTAAGAACCTACTCTGGTTGTCCTCGTAGTAAGCGAATGTGAAAGGTCCTGTCAGAGAAGGGGACATTCTCACGCTCCTTGAATCTGAACGTGAAGCAAGAAGACTCAGGTGAGGTGCTTCCAGCATTTCTTGTGAAAGCTTTCTGTTTTGAGTAACCAGAAGCATTGACATCAAAACATATTTTATGACCCATCATTTGCCATCCAGTTCCACTCCCTTAGTATGTTGTACTTGTTGTAGTTGATATTCCTGCCTTCTTGTGAAAGCTTTCTGTTTTGAGTAACCAGAGGCATTGACATCAAAACATATTTTATGACCCATCATTTGCCATCCAGTTCCACTCCCTTAGTATGTTGTACTTGTTGTAGTTGATATTCCTGCCGCTAGAGCTTCTAATCAAGGTTCATTATTGTGGTTGTGTGTGTTTCATCCATTGCTAAGTTATTCACTGCTTCAATGACAACTGAACTGGAAGTATGTCTGCTTGTAAACCCTAAACATAATGGTATCAAATGACTTGAGATGCAATATTTTGATTGGAAAATTTTTTTATTTCTTCCATAGGTAACAAGAGGGTTGCAGCCAAATGGATCCGTCACCCAAGAAAATGACACACTTCTGATCCTAAGAATGTCCTCATCGATTATCATAATTGAATAAAAGTCTTCTCTTGCGCAGATTTTGGGGTGAATTTGATTGTACATTATCTGCATTTTGGTAGCTCTTAATATGTGCTGATAATGTTGCTATTATTTTCATGAGATATGTCATGGAAGAAGGGCCTCATGGTGTTCGTGTTCATCTCCACAATGAGCTTCAAGGAGGATATCAATGTGAACTCATGAATTTGCAAAAACCCTCTATTTGCATATATTGAAGTAAAGTGAATAGGTGCATGTTACCCAATACTGGTCTCAGCAAGAGAGTTGGAGCAGGAGGAGCCTGTCTTGCTGAAGGAAGAGGGTGGCTTCCCTGATGGGTCCAGCTTCTGAGGAATTAGATGCTAGTTTGCATAGAAGGCATGCAAATCTAGCAAGTATCTTGGATCCATGAAAGCCTATCCCAGGAGATGGGAATCCTCTATTGAGGAGCAGCAGGCTCTGAATTACTTTCCCCAATCAAGTGGAATATTTCTCAGTGTATTTGGACAATGCTGATTTGTTGAGCTAACATAGTTGCTTTGCTTCTTTCTTATATTGTATCTATGTTTCACTGCTTGATAAGGCAGATTTCGACTGGAAAGCAACTGAAGTACATCAGAACTCTTGCCATCATGGTGCAAACTCCAGAGCCAGCTGCCAAGAAACCAAAGGGTGATATCCCAAAGATTGGGACACATAATGGGACTTTTCATTGTGATGAGGCTCTTGCCTGTTTCCAACTTAAACTTCTTCCTGAATACCATAATGCAGAAATTGTAAGGTGAGCCTGAGTTCATATTTTGCTTTCCTTTGAGGGGAATTCTGGCATAATTTGTGTGTGTGTGAGTCAACGAAAGTACAATCAGCAGTTATGTGTAATATATGCAGAAAATGAATCGTTATGGGATGATCAGAGATTTTTTACTTGAGCAAGAGATAGTGCAGAAGGCAGCTGTATGGTGGCTGAGTAAATCATGGGCCTGTCTTTTCACTTATGTTTCATTGGCATGGGGAGACTGTTGTGTGCTGATAATTTGACATTGAAGGAACTTCTACCCCATTACCTTGCATTTCATACTGTTTTTTGTTTCTTTTTTCTTGTCAGATGTTGCTAGCTTCAAAAGTTCAACAATTCCCTCTAACCCCAAGTGAGGAATTCCATGGATGTATGACCTTCCAACACTTTTACCATGAAATGAATTTGGCAATATACCTAAAAGGTTCAATGGAATAGCCCTAGCATTGCACAAAAATCATTCTTAATAGGAAGACTTGAGTTGTCATTGAGAGTATGTTAAAAGCCATGCCAGCATTAAAGACACTGTTAAGAAGGGTATATTGAGGAACAATAAACTTGCAATACAAGGTGTGCTTAATTTTTCCATTTTAAGCACCATTTAGTCATGACAGTATCTTTTATGTAAGAATGACTCTGCCCAGAAATGACACTTGCCCTAGACACACCATTACTTGTAACATTTAACTATAGAGCAAATGCCTACCATGGCATATGGATCTGTCCATAGTGTCAGATGTGACATCAGGAGTAATATTTTTAGGATACAAAATGTATTTACATTATGGATGAAAAATCAGCATATAAAGGCTATAACAATTTGCTTGGGTAGCGACTGAAAATTCCATAACCCAGAGTCTTCCTCTCTCTCTTTCATTAGAGGTGTACCTACATGCAAAGAAAAGTGTTGGACGTGGCATTTCATGAACCTCAAGTTAAAGTCACTTTCACTAATGTTCACATATCTGTCATCGAGCAGATCCTAATAATATAGTTTCATGTTCATTCTATAGATTGAATGAAAGCCTGGAATTACTGTAAGTCACCCCAAGATTGACTCGAAACAGAAAGTAAGCCTATTTTGTGACGGTGTCGGATGTGACATGTTCAGAAAATGTATTTTGAAACGAGAAGTCTGTACATATTAATTTTATTTTAAAGATATCATTCAAATGTGAACATTTGACATCTACTCTTCACACCTGAGCTGATTTTAAATTATCAGTAGGTATAGAAAACCCATGCTGGCATCTGTTCCAGTAATTCAATTCAGTCTCTCCAGACATACATTTTCATCACATTTTTGAGTATCATGAGAGTGGTATGGTATAATAATGACAAGGTCTTTCATTTTTCAATGTAATATTCTCTTTCATGTCTTCTGGGAAAAGAGATGATGAACTTCTGTAGCAAAAGTAATATATGCATATTTAGGAAAATTTACAGTTAAAGTCCGAGGACCACTTGGCATGGACAGACCCATATATGTTCTCGGGTTAAGTTGAGATGAGGCATGTGTTTCTCATGACATGCATTCTAGGTTTGTAGACCAAAAATCAATACCTCAAGGTACATTCCTGTGACTAAGACTTCATTTGATCCCAAGAGATTATAACCTTTTGCTAGGAAACTCCTATCATGTTGGCATCGTGTAGAGGAATGAAAAACAAGAAAATTTAATGTGGTTCTAAGAAGAAATTTGGGTCATTTTGAAGTATCTCTTTGCAAGGATATGAGGTATTTACAAGCTTTTTGGATGTCATCTTTACAGATCGAGAGATGAAAGTGTGCTTTCCACTTGTGATGTAGTTGTGGATGTGGGTGGAAAACATGACCCTGAGAGTCTACGATTTGATCACCATCAAAAGTGAGCCAATCATTCATTGGTGGTGTTTCAGCATCCTTTGAGTTAAATATTAAACACCTATTTTAACATTTTATAGGTCCTTTACAGCAGGCTTGAGTACCCTTCGGCCTGGGAAGAAGTGGACAACGCGGCTAAGCAGTGCAGGGCTTGTGTTCAATCACTTTGGACATCGCATAATTAGTCAAGTCTTGGATTGCCCTGTTGAAGACCCCAGAGTGGAGATAATTTTTGACAAGGTATATGAAAATCTCATAGAAGAAATTGATGCCATGGACAATGGTGTTGATATCTGCGAAGGAACTCCCAGGTTACCATCAGCTGCTTTTCTTTAATTTAATTTTTGGGAAGTATTGGGAATGAGGAATTGATGTATCATTTTAGGTACCGAATCACAACAAATCTTAGTTCTCGAGTTCGTCGCCTCAATCCACCGTGGACAGATAAGGACACAAATACAGATGATGTCTTCCCCAAAGCCATGCAGATGACCGGAGAGGAATTCCTTGATCGCATCCATTACTATGGGGAACTCTGGTGGCCAGCAAGAGAGATGCTTCTCAAGGTAGTGGAAGCAAGGTTCCAGGTAGGCAGTTTCCAGGCCATGTCATCTCTCAGACTAGAGAACTGGTCATATTCAAAGAGACTTTCACAGGTGGATAAGAGTGGGAAGATCATGGAGATGTCTTCTGGAGGCTTTCCATGGAAGGAGCATTTCTTTGACTTGGAAGAACAAGGAATTATACCAAAAAATGAGTTGTTTTTTGTCATCTTCACTGATACTGCAGGCATGTGGAGAGTCCAGGCAATTCCTGTCAGTGCAGATTCATACAGTTCAAGGTTAGTACAGTGAAACATGTCCTTGAAGGTGCACACGTTGGTGTCTGACTTATCCCGAGTTCATCCAAAATGCAGACTACCCTTGCTTGCTGAATGGAGAGGGGTTTTTAACCCAGAGCTGGAGGAGAAGTCTGGTCTGCCTGGGATTAAATTTGTGCATGCAACTGGATTTATCGGAGGACATGAGACACGTGAAGGAGCCATTGCCATGGCTAAGAAGACTTTAGCTTCTCAGCCAGAAACAGACAAAAAATGATTTTGTATTCTTTGTTTTTCTTTTGTTTGTGAAATAAATAACAGTGGATGGAAGCATCAGACTTTTGTATTCCATAGCAGTTGAAACCTGGTGCTTCTTTCAGCTGTTTTAATAATTCTGAAACAAAATTACTGAAAGGAATCACTTGATATATTCTGTTGTGATCTTCAAGGACACAATTATTTTTACTACACCAGTGCAGTAAAAATAATTGCTGTTGGTGGACTAGCACATCAGCATTAGTCCGATTCACTTCAGTATCACAGAGTGTAAAAATAGTCTGAAATTGCATTTGACAAAGAAGTACCTCAAAGTAGCATGCATTGGAAATCACTTTTCTTTATGAAACTGATGCTCAAATTCATAAATTCCAACAGATGCTTTAGCCTTGTCATCATAATCCACCCATTCTTTCTCCTTCAGGTCAATGTCTTCGAATCGGGTCCCTGTGTCTGTCCCCTCTGCAACCCAGCCAACCTTCAAGAAATAACATGACTTGATAGATTGACTAAGTTAAACCAGTCAAATGCACAAACAGATGAACCAGGTTTATTAACCTAAGTGATTTCTGAGATATTTCAGTGACATCTTGAATGACACCTTGAAAGAAATGGATTCCTTACTTCCTACATTGCAAAGAAAGCAACAAAATGCAAACATAAGATTCTACTCATCTTGCAGCTGAATTGTTGCTTCTTTGGGACCTTCAGCATCAGGTTTTTTGCAGTTATGGAACCAAAGTACCAATTTGGTGATGGAGATTGACAGCCATATAAGCCATTTCCACTTTCATAAGCAAAGATGAGTTTGCAAGTCAAAACTCAAGCCTTGGGAAATTGGGTCATGCATAAACTTACCAAACTCAACTTCACCAGCCAAGTCCTCATTGGAATAAGGCCTAATAATTGATAGCTGAGCAAGTTAGACATACTAAGAGAGGCTATTTCCATGTTCTCAGGATTATATTCACCAGATTGGGTCACTAACTACTGCCCTAATAGAAGTCTTGAGCATCACATGAGCCAAATTTTTTCCTTCCACTGTTTCACTTAACTTTCTGGGCAAATTAATGTGCTCTTCTAACTGGAAAACAAATTTAGTGCCACAGGTCCCATGAAAGTAAATGGTTTCCCTCTTACAACCCAAAGTTGGATGCCAGACATTGCTGTGCCCTTTCTATGATGCCCCACCCATATTATGGGGATGACATTGTGGCTGGAAGTTTTTTAAATTAACCATTCATGAAATACTTCTGATGCAACAGCCTCAATATCATAATTGAAATAAATGGAACATCTAAATGTAATTGATGCCTGAAGTTTTTCAACCAATAATAGCCATGGCACATTGCACACTGTCAACCATCCAAGAATTATCATTCAATAGAAGATAACAAGGGATATGAGACTTTACAGAGGCTGAATAACAATTTATGAATATAGTTTTTATCTAAGAGGTATAGAGCCAGATTAACTTTTTCCCAGAGGCAGAAATGTGTTTGCTTGAAGAAAGGATAAAACCAGTCAGCCTGACAACCCTCTCGATGGAGCATTTGTAAACATCAATGTGACAAAGACTGACACCATGCATTAGTGGTAATATTCTGATAACAATGGAAACAAAAGAATTTTCATACTCTTGCATCAAAATCCACAGGTTCCAAACCCCGACAATCAAAGTGGACCACCGACTTGAAGCCCTCGTCATCGCTCGAGTATTTCCCAATTGAATCAGGGATGATATCTGTCTTTATGATAATAAAAAATAGAGAAAAATCAAGGTTTTAAAAAGCCATGGCATTCTAACCAAGAAGACTTGAGGGTCAAGAGACAAACCTATAGAACTCTCCCTGGAACAAAGCTTGCACTTGGACACGAAGCTTGCATGGCCTCGTCCACCCTTCAATGGACTGCTCTCCAGCAGCGTGACATACTGCCAATGATCTGGTGCTTCACCACAATTTGTGCACTTTAGCTGAAAGCACAACCACATCAATCGACATATACCTACCATCCCATAAACACAATGCCATGTACCACATTGTTAAATTAATCACAGATACATATAATTTGTTGTAAAACTTATAGAATTAAGGCCCAGGGTTCCTCTCAACATCCAAACCATTTACATGACTAACAAAAAAAGTCTTAAAATACATATAATACAAATTAATAATATCAATGTGTGCACAACCAGTGAGAAGAAAGTGAATCAAGGAGAAAATAGAACGTTTTTTAATAACCCATGAGAAAATGGTAGCACCAACTTTTCATGTTCAAATGGTTTGGCATGGGTGTTCCTCATGATGGCATTCATGCTAACCCATTCTTAATTAGCCATTAAGAGATATTTACTCAAACATAAAAATACTAGAGGCCCAAATTCCATGCTCTCTGCTCTAAAAGTAAATAATAAGCTCTGAATTATCCTATAACCATGGAAAACAATGTTGGCCAAAAGGGATCTTACAAAATAATTCCCAAACACTTGTTTCTGAATTTCTGGACCAATGATAAGATTTATAGTTGCAATACTCAAAACTGCATTTTGTGAACCATTCACCATCATTCCAAATGGCATCAGCCATTCTAAAAAAAAATTATTTCCACCATGGGATCCAATGAACAAATGGTGAATTTCATTTCATGTTTCTCTCCAGGAATATTGTAAAACAGAGGGTTAATATGAGGAATGAGTCCCTCAGATTGTTTGTTTAGATTGCTTAATATGTTTTATAAAACAAAAGTGAAATTTTTAACTTTATTAAATTTGGCCATGCATGACAGTACCCCATTTGAGATTTTTTTTCCCTTTCACAGGACTCACTGGATCCACTTTAGAAGTTATACGTCACAGAAAAATCACATCTTCCCCTTCACTTTGAAAAAAATGTATGCATATCACACTTGCTTCCAAAGGAATGTTGATTTTTTTCTCATTTCACTTTTCTCTCTTGTGGGAGTACTTCTCTGACTATAATTTCTTCTTTCCCTGTTGCCAATCTGTTTCACTCTCCATTTTTTTATTATAAAACTAGGCCTCAATTGTCCTCCTTTTAAACCTGTTTGTCCCTCTCAATCAATTTCCATATTCCTTTTTTGCCCTCTTGTTTTGCTTCCAAATGAAGTATGACTGGACAACCCCAGTGCAGAATGGATTCTCGACTGCCAAATGCAAAAATATAATAAATAAAATAGATGAAGTTGATGGCTTCATTGGAGGCATATCTCAGATGAAAGTGGTACCAAAACTATGTGAAACCATCGAATGGAAGTCCATGGTAGACTTCAGGAGAGGTCTTCCCACCTCCAAGCAGTGTAAGAGGTCGACTCGGGCTTAGACGTTGCGCTAAAAGACGTTTAGTCGTTCCCTTACGATGTCACTCTAACACTAGGGTAGTAGGATATTCAATGGATTCATGAGGCTCAGAATGAATATTTCTGACATGCCATATAGAACTGCCACATTGGCCAACTTATTAGAGTTGCCTGACAACATTTAGGAATTGGAAAAGCCAAAACCTATGAGTTGCAAAGCAGAACAAAGATCGCGTGAGTAGATTTTCGCTGTTTTGTTCAGTTTCCCCAAATTCTCGACGGACGTTCTTATATTAGTAACTTCCCTAAGTGGTCTCGGACGGAGATTTAAGAAGAACCATTCTGAACATGTCAAATTATATAACTTTTGAGTGCTTCCAATAATTTATTGCTTTGCAGGTACATGATTCTTGTTTCCTAACTGGTAAGGGCATTTAACTTTTCAGCCTATTCGTCGATGTTTGCAATTGACAGTCGATTTATATCATGTAGGTCTACTACTGATTGCAAATTACCATCCATACCTGAGAATGCATTTCCCAAGTAAAAAAACCGCCTGATATTGTAGGCAGCATTGTGATATAAACTTGAATCTGAGAGAGCTAAAAAAAATCCAAACCTTACATTTTTTGTCATCTTAGATCTTTTGCTTTCTTTCCTTTTTTCACTAAAAATCAGCAGGTTGTGATTAGCCTACACCATTTTATGTCACAAGCTTATGGTCATCGGTAGGCAGATCAAAAGTCTAAATCTCCCATTTCTTCATCAAACTGCACTTCGCCACTGAATTCTGAATGTTGATCCCAGATGCTCTTCAAATAAATTCATCGCTGACCTCGGGCTACATGCTCAGGCATTCGCATAATGTGCGCTGTTAATGAAATTAAAACCTCAGGTTTCGGCGAAACGTTGAAGGCAAGTCACAAAAACTTTAAACAAAGTCGAACGAAATTTTCCGTTCGAGAAATCTGATTGAATCTTCACAGTCGAATTGAGCTGATTTTCCCAATTAAACTTGAAGGGTGTGCCTAGCCTAACTCATTCATGTGGATATGTCCAGTACTCCATGAGTACTTTCAAGTACTGCTGGCACCGAGAGGGGCTGCCAGCATCTCCGATAAGAGGAAAGAAAATGAAGTCACGCAATTACAAAGCCTTCGCCTGACAAGAATCTAGAGCAACGCAAACACTCGCGGCCGACGGAGCATGACAGCGCGACGAGGAAAGTCTGCGGCGACGTTCTCGAGGAGTAACGAAAGACTGGAATCCAAATGAACTCACACCCATGGGCTTTCGAAATGCGTGAAACCAGGAAACGGAAACGAAGGCCACGAAATCGACACCCAATCTCACTCACGAATAGCAGACGACACCGGCAGCGTGTGCGTCGCCATCCCGAATCTTCGAATACAGCGTCCCGCTCGGGAGAGAAGGAGGGGGAGGAGGAGGAGAAGGTGGAGGAGTAGGAGGAGGAGAGGGTGGAGGTGTAGGGGGAGAAGGCGGAGAAGGAGAGGATGGCGGAGGAGGGGGACTCCTGTTGTCCGTGGCTGAACCGGCTGTGATCGCTTCGCTTGCCATTCCGTCTGGCTCGACTCTGCTGCTCAGAATGATTGCGGGACTCCTGAGGCGTTGAGCGTGGTTGCCTCCCCTTCCCATCACTTTCTCAGCGAGTTCTCGGGCTCCTTTTTTTATGGCAGCGCCAGGTATGACGTTTGGGTGATGAAAGAGGGCGATAGGCTCGTAAATGGTGATTTCAGGTGATGGATGAGAAGCCCGATTTGGCAATGTCGACGGTGTTGCTATCTGTGCGGAAGAGCGATGGCGAACAGAAACCTTGGTGTTCAGCGAATCCATGAAACCTCGAGGGAGCCAATACCGATCGTAAGCACCATCATAGGGTGCCTGTGCGAGGAAAAGTCGAAGTTTTCCGCCGCCTTTCAATAGAACAATCCGACAACACTGGAACACCAGCTGAACGCACTGTCTCCATATTGAAGGGCATCTCGCCCCTGCCCCTTCCATTTCCCCCTCCCCAACGTCCGCCAGGACCCAGGTCGCAGGCAAGTCAGTCTCCAAGGGCAACGAGGGCGGGGAACTGCCGACCGGAAGTCGATCCCCGTCCCCCTCAGGGCCACATGCAACCTAGGAGAACACGATCACGTGATCAGTGACGTCGCATCCCCACCCCGTCTTCTCATTGGCGCATACAAACGAAGGCAGCAGCGGTCGTTTTCCACCAGTCGTTTCCGGTCCATCCCCCCTCAGTCGAGTTGCCACCTCCTGTCTGCTCGCTCCCAGGCCCGTGTACTACCGATCTCGAGTCCAGGTTGGTTTTGGTTCCTATATTTGCATATATCCCACCATACACCGAAGAACCTAAAGGCCCGTATTCACATTCCTCCCCTTGCTAAAGGATCCTCAAACCCAACTCTAGTAGTAGAAGATAAGGAGCTTCTTCCAGTTTTCCCGTCTTGAAGCTTGCGTGTTCGATGCGCTCGATCTCCGGTAGCACCTCATAATTCTCGTGGCATTTCGTAACTTTTGAGAGTATCTAAGGATGAAAATCCCCCCCCCCCCCCTCCAAAAAAAAATGTCCATTTGTCCTTTCATTCACGTTGTGCACTTGCAGGATGATGTCAAGTGAAACTCGCTGCTATCAATGTATAGAAATATCGCGGCAAAAAGTATTTCTCCCACTCCAAATTTGAGGGAAAAATCTCCGCTCTGACAACAGCTACTACCACGAAACTTGCTCTGAGCCCAGGCTGCCATGTTTTCAAGAGCTTTGTTTTCGTTGAAATGCCTTGCGGCGAGTCAAGGCTATTAGTCGTATTTCAAAGAAGTTGGAAACCGTTGCAGTGGGCCGGAGCGCTAGCCGGTAGTTTAGCATTGGAAACGCCTTCGTTCTGCCGTTTGCATGCCATGCAGGTCAGGTCAAAACATTTAGTGCATTGGAATTCGATCGTTGATTTGCCTTTTGCTGGATATAGTTTTCATAACATTCTTTTAAAATAATGACAGATCAACAGCTGTTAAGACAGAGTTTGCAATGAGGCCCATATTTACGTGACTCTCCCAGGAACAGTATATCCTAACATTTAGGTAAGGATTCCCCAAAAAATGGGGAATCCTTATAATACGTTCGTCTGTGAAGGGGGCCCTTAGCTGGGGAATCCTTTATGAAGATGGGGGAGAGGGCGCATGCGCTGGAATGCTTCAGCTTGGTGGCCTCCTCAGCCACACGCAGGAGTCTGAGGTCCTCTGCTCAGAAATTTTTTTTTTGCTTTTTTTTTTATCTTGTGAGTCTGACACTTTTTGATGGCTGTGATACCCAGTTACAGCACTTCCCATGAATTACTGCCAAGGTCAAACGAAAGTGTGTCCTACTCGTCTGAAAAAAAAATTGTAGTTGATCTGACGAACTCTCATTGTTTCGTCGAAAAATATTCCGTTGTAATGATTTTCTTCACACTGGCTTGAGCATCGACCTAGGCGGGTACTCGACGCTAACGCAAAACAAATTACAAATATTCCATTTAAAGATTACAATTGTATACTTTCATCCTTCGTCAATGTTGCATAACGCTTCTCGACATGAATGCAACATGTATTGACATATCAAATGATAAAATACTTCAAATCTATATCGGTGTTATTAGTGCGGCACAGTAGATTTTTTAATGCGGCCCACTAAAATTAACTAATAGTTAAGTTTTTCTCATTTATCCCTTTTATTGGCACTCATGAATAATCGCGATTAACACTGATGCTAATGCATTTAGGTGTGCACCTGCTGAACTAGCCTGATATTCGGGGCATGGGAAACTGCAGGGAAAAGTGTCTCACCTCGCAAATAAATAGTGAAGTTTATTAGAGAGGGAAAAAAAGAGCATTTATCGAAAATACGACTCGTAAGAAAGCAGCACCTAGAACCGATGCGTTTGCAGAAGCCCTGACTCCAAGGAGTGGCAGTATTCGTGACCACAAGAGTTGAAAGTGTGTGCAGATGCGGCAGGAAGAGGCACTTTTTTTTTCCTCCCCATTTTTAAAATGGGAATTCCTGTTATAATTAGCATTACCAATGGCCAGATAAAGGGTTACCCATGCAGAAATGTTGGATCTTTTTTAACGCTGCCCACTCCAGGTGGAGTTAAAGTGTCGACTGGTAAAAGAATTAATAATAATTAATAATAATAATAATAATAGTGAATACCCAAATGCAAAGGCATGAACCCGACGAGGGAATGCTGCCCTCCGGAAGACTGCAACGAACTCGCAGGAATCTGCTAAGCGCTGGCTGAGGGCTCCCCTAACTCCTTCACGACTTCGGGGCGCGTTTAGGGACTCCCTAGCTGAGGGAATAACGCGAATACGGCCCTATATTCTTTCGAGCAGGGGTCGGGAACCTTTTGCCATATTAGGATTAAGCTAAGTGCTTGTAAGCGAAAGATTTTCAGAACAGAATTTTTCCCGGAGTTGTCAACAGACATATGCATTCTTTGATGCATGAGAAAAATGAGGAACAACCATGATTTTCAGCTCATGACTCAATGAGCCAAACTTGTCGGCTCATGAGCCATAGGTTCCCGACCCCTGCTCTAGAGGCTTAAGCTCGAATTGCCTGCGAAATATTTCCAACTTTTATATTGTATTTGTGGCATTTTAGGCTGACCGTAGAACAAGGTTCAACTTATTCTCAACGTTCTGGGCCGGCCTTTAAAAAATCCAAACAAATCCCAAGGGCTCGGCGGATGATCCTTTCTAAATCTCCATCAGCCGGATGCCTCATCCGATGACCTTTAAATTTTTGCTCGATTAGCGAAGGTCTACCGAG